TATCCCAGATCCAAAAAGTTCCAAAATCTAAAGCTTTTGGAGTACCAACCCGATGCCAAAAGAAGTTTCACCTGACCTTGTGTGATAAGTCAGTTAAAAGGCGTAAATAAAAAAATACTGTATTATATAAAACTATCTTCAGGCTATGCATATGGGGTATTTATTATTCTCTTTTAAAATTTGTTATGCTCACTAGAGAGAGAGAAAGAGGGAGCCTTGAGTGAGAAGGTAGGCCGCCGGGTCTGGAACTTGAACCATGGTCAGCCATGTAGGAGCCCAGCACCTTAACCACCACATCACCTGCTGGCCCCATGTATAAGTGTATGTAAAACATAAATAATGGGTTAGTAGGCAGCATGGTCATTAAGGCACTGAACATTCACATGGCTGACTGCAGTTCGAGTCCTGAACCTGGGAGTTTGACAATCACACCAGATGTGTGTGCATGTGTCCAAAACTTAGAGAATGGAAGAGAAGGGATTATGCTGTGGCCGTACTCCCTGGGTGATGATTTCTCACTTTCCCTCTCGCTGTCTTGTCTCTCTGGCAAGTACACATGCTCTATGGCAAAATAAACAAATAAACAAAAACCCTAAAATAAATAAATTGAGTGTTAGACTTGGATCCCAGCTCTAAGACACCTCAATTTGTATATGCAAATAGTTCAAAATCCCAAAACATTCAAAAATTAGAAACACTTCTGGTTTGAAGTATTTATGATAAGGGATACTCAACCTGTACTTGCAACTTTTACTTTGTCTTTTTCGTTAAAAAAAAAAAAAATTATTTGGACCAGCAGTTAGCATAATGGCTATGTCGCTGAACTCCCATGTAGTTGACTGCAGTTCAAGTCCCGGACCCGGTGGCTTAAACTCACACTGGGTGCATGTGCGCCCAAGATCCTTAGAGGAGAATGAAGAGAAGAGATTGTGGCGTAGCCATCCCTTCTGGGGGGTGATTTCTCACTTTCTATCTCTCTGTCTTTCTGGCAAGCGCATGTGCCCTAAAAAAGCGAAAACCTCTCAAAAGAAAAATTATTTATTTTTAATTTTGACCAGAGAAAGAAGGAAAGTGATAAAGCAAGCTGCCAGGTCCTGACTCGAACCATAGTCAACTGTGTGGGAGCCCAGTGCTTTAACCACACCACCGCCTGTCGGCCCCTTTTACTTTGTTTGAAGCTTTTACGGCCTTGGTGCTGTTTCCCACGTTGAAAATTAACCTTATCTTTCCCTTCCACCTAGCCAATTCTTCCCTCAACTTAAGAGACCTCCTCTTTGGGGGCCAGCAGGTATCATGAAGAGTAAAGTGGCTGGATCTAAATGGCCAGAATTGCTGGTTGGGCCCAGGACCTGACAGCTTGGAATCATGCTGGGCATGTGGTGTGTGCATTCCCAAAATCTCAAAGGACGGGAGTGTGATGTGGCCACTCCACTTGGAGGATGACTTCTCACTTTCCCTGTCTCTCTGTTTCTCATGGGCAGGCACACATGTTCTTTTAGCAAGTTAAGAGGGGAAAAAAAAAAAAAAAAGGAAACCAGAAGAAACTCCTCTTCTTCAATACTGATCATCACACAGTATCCTAGCTGTTAATATGCCAGTCATCCCCACTAGAGTAAAGGCTAATCAAAAGAAGGGGTTCTTTGGCTAGCAATTATTATTGCATGGTGCATCTGCCTTCAATATAGTGATCACACAAGGTCTGCTGTTGCAGAAATCTGTGCCCGTAGGTAGAAGTATAAACCCTGACATATAAATGCTTTTTCCTAGGGATTAATGTACCTGCCTAATAACTTTATTGAAACTCTTTAGTGATAATTTGTGCTTGAAATACACAGCTAATTAAGATTAATGTGTTTCCTCCCCTCTCCCTTTAGTTTATAGAAAAGCACCTGGTAATTAATTACCTTTGCACACATTTCGGGCACAACATATTGTCCTCCAGGTGTGGGGGTGGGAAACTGCAGGCCGGAAGTAGGAAGAGGGCACACACTCTCCCTTTTTGCTTCTCAGGAACCCAGGCTTGTCCAGCATGAAACTGCAGGTGAACCCAACCACCTTTGTTTGCAGGGAGACTTCTCCCATGGACCACACACCACCTGACACCTGGGGGAGGAGAGAGAAGTATGATCATGCGGGGACCTCAAGCTCCTGTTTGAGACTGTCATGACCTGATGCCCTTGAAGGCTATGACCTTTCAGAGCTGGCTCTCACATATGAACTCTGGAATTCTCATTTAACCAACCTCTCTACTCCAGCCAGCTCCCCTTATCAAAGGTATACAAAACAATCGCAGTTAGAACTTAAAAAGAAACCCCCCAAAATGCAATTGGAAGTAGTAAAAGTGGGTAGATGGCAGAAAAACTAACCCAGAATGGTCTAGGAAGACCTTCATGAACTATGTTCAGGGGTCTCAACCCTTAGCAGGCATTGTATTGTGCTAAGCAGTTTAGGCTTCCCTCTAATTCTTACATAGGTTATTATGACTAACCCATTTTACCATGAGCAAACTGTACTATCTTAAATGACTACTTAATGTCACTCACTTAATGATGCCAAAAGACTCAGGGCTCGAGCCCAGGTAGCTGATTTTAAACCATGCCTTTAAATTTCCTAAGGAAGGAAAAATAAATGAAGTCGAACAGATTGCCATCCCCTTCTGTTTCCTTCGGTGATTTGGAGCACTGGCTCTCGTAGCTTGCTCCCTGGACCAGCATCCTCACTACTGCCTGGGAAATGGCTAGAAATGCACTCTTCGAGCCCTGCCAGGCCCGAGTCAGATCAGTGGGCAGCGGTCCAGGAATCAGCAGCCCTTGGTCTAATTTTGAGGTATCCTAAAATTGATGAGAAGTTACTATCAATTAATTTAATTTCTTTACTAGACTAAAACAAGCTCTTCCTACTGGACTTACCATAGGCCTCTTGTGGGGATTCCACGGCCTCTGTTTCTGCTGACTCCATCTTCCCAGCCACAGATGCAATTCTGGCCCAGGAGGCCAGCACAGCCTCTGGGGCAGAGGTTGTCACCTCAATTGTATTAACTCCCTCGAGGAGAGCTGCAGACTCTTCGGGGTTAGAAAAAGCCTCTGCAGGTGGAGGAGCCACCTCTGGAAGATTAGTCCTTTCAGAAGACATCTCTTCCTGAGGACTTCCTGCAGATGCTTTCCCTCTGCCCATCTTTAATTTTTTTTGTAATGATGACTCAATCCTGGCCTCCTTTGCTGTGGTAGGAATATCCTATAAATAGGGTTATATAATAAAGTTAGTAATTAACATTTTAAGAAAATAAGTAATTAAAGATGAATGGGGCGCTCTTTGGGAGAATTCCACATAGGAAGGCTGTAGGTTCTGCCTGGCCTCCCTCAGGACTGGTATGTGCATGTGACACGGGCCTGGCTGAGGCTGGGGGAGATCATGGCATCAGGATGCTGTTGGGAGTGCTCGCTCACAGAAGAAAAGAAATCCCATCAGAAGTGTGGCCGTGGGGCCAGTACACGGTTTGATGGTTTAAGATGCCTGGATTCCCACACTGTCGACTGCAGTTCAGGACCGAGTACCACTTTCACTCTCCTCTCCCACGAGGACACACATGCACTCTTACGGCAAAAACCTTAAAAAATAAAGTGTGGCCTCAGGGGTTGGGGAGATGTGAGTCAAAGGGTACAAAATTGAGTGAAAAAGGAGAGAGAAGTTCAAGAGCTCTACTGTATAACATGATGACTTCAGCTAATGACACTGCCCTGTATTACTGAAAATGGCCCAGGGCAGATTTTTAACTGTTCTCGCCACAATAAATAAGTATGAGGTAATGCACATCGAATTTGCCATTCTACAATGTTTACACATACCACAAACAATACACGGTGCCTGATAAATTTACACACTTTTTAGTTGTCAATGAAAAATTCTTAAAAAGTACAGCCTCCTGGGACCAGCAGTTAGCGTAATGGCTATGTCGCTGGACTCCCACATAGTCGACCGCTGTTCGCGTCCCGGACCCGGTGGCTTAAAACTCACGCCAGGCGTGTGTGTGTGTGCGCGCCCATCCCCCCTGGGGGGGTGATGTCTCGCTTTCTGTCTCTTTGTCTCTCTCTGTCTGTCTGGCGAACGCACGCACCCTATAGCAAAAACCTCTCCGAAAAAAAGAGTACAGCCTCCTTTTTATTATTCTTTGCAGAGCTGGTGAAAAGTAAGGATAGGGTAATATTACTCTTTTACAGAATGAGGGATGGCAGGGGGGAAAAGGGCTAGATAGTTCTTCTCACTTTCTGATGCTAAAATACATAATCATATACATAAGAACCAAACCTTCCACTCTTCCTATTTTTCTTATCAAAAAAAAAAAAAAAAGTCGCTCACCTTCTGATTTGGATAAGCATAGGCACACAGTCTCCTATATGCATCTAATTTCTAAGACAAGAGAAAAATAAGTTAATAATGACAGCAAGGGCCTACCCTTCTTCTCAGCAGTGTCTCCCACCCTGGGCCCTGACCTGGCCTTTGGAGCTGATCTTTAATTGCTGGCACCAAGCCCGCAGGATGTCTCGGTGAAGCCGGTTGACTGGTGGCAGTTTAGAGGGCAATGGGGGAATTGGTATCTTATTCTGAGGCTGTAGGCTGTCATTGCTTTGTGCCTTCTCCTTTGGACAGGAAGCTGCAAACAGAATAGAATAATTACAGAATTTCAAGAGTACATAACTTTGGGAACCAGCAGTTAGCGTAATGGCTATGTCGCTGGACTCCCACGTAGTCGACTGTGGTTCGCGTCCTGGACCCGGTGGCTTAGAACTCACGCCGGGCACGTGTGCGTGCGTGCCCAAGATCCCGAAAGGAGAATGGAGGAGAAGAGATTGCGGCATGACCATCCCCCCTGGGGGGTGATTTCTCGCTTTCTGTCTCTATGTCTCTCTCTGTCTGTCTGGCGAGCGCACGCGCCCTATAGGTAAAACCTCTCCAAAAAAAAAAAAAAGAGTACATAACTTTTAGTTCTGGAAGTTCAATCACCCATCAAATGATTTGCTGCAAATCACACCTTTTCCAAGGAACAGAACCTCATACCTAGGACTAGATCATTCTAAATCCCAGCTTTAAAACTCCTAAAACTCCTAAACTTCCTAAAACTCCTCTCTATTCACCTGCTCCAATGTGAGAATCCACAGAAAGAAGGTGGTTGCACTAGAGACTGTACTTTTATCCCAGGGAATAACAGACACCTCACACTTGAGATCATAAATATTCAGCAGTGCCTTATCTAGCCACAGAATAAAAATAAGTACCTGACAATGCTACACACACAACCATGAACACCCACCACTCTGCCAGCCCACCTGTCAGGGCAGCACCCATTCTCCTTGGCTCTGCAGTGGTTCTAATCCTACTGCACCTCACATTCACAATTCCTATTCATTAAAGACTTCTAGAACAGGGGTCTAGAAGTCTTTAATGGTGACATGGCGGTTAAGGCACTGGACTCCCACATGGCTGGCCCTAGTTTGAGCCCTGGACCTGGCGACTTGCTTTATCTCTTTTTCTTTCTCTGGTGAGCACATATGCCCTACAGCAAATTAAAAAGATTAAGAACCATAAAATTAAATATTAGGTTGTCAGAAAATCATGATGCAAACAAAGAAAAAAAAAGTCAAGATGCAATTTTACATAGAAAAGCAGAAAAAAAATATGTCATGACTTTTCCACCAAGCCAATAAACAATTCTTTTTTTTAAAAAAAAGATTTTATTTAACTTTACTTATTTAAATTTGACCAGAGAGGGACACAGTAGGGAGAAGGTAGAGTGAGAAAGCAAGCCACCAGGTTCAGGACTTGAACCATGGTCAGTCATGTGGGAGTCCAGTGCCCTTTGCCACCTGCCACCCCCCACCCCAATAATTCTTAAAAAAAAAGAAAAAAAGTAGACTTCCAGAACATCTCCAGGATAGACCAGATTGTAGAGCCGTGAACAATTACCATCACTAGCACTTACAGAATACATATTACTCATCAGGCATAGTGTAGGTGGTTTTATATAATTATTCTATTTCTGACCCACTATCTACCCCACACCAAATTTATCAAAGTAGATAGTCCTCATTTTAAAAATTATTTATTTAATGCTATTTGTTGTTATTATTATTATTTTGACCAGAGAGAAACAGAGAAAGGGAAAGCAAGAAAGCAAGCTGCCAGGACTGGGACTCGAACTGGGCTCAATCATGTGGGAATCCCTTAACTACCACACCACCTACCAGCCTCACTTATTAGGAAATGGTGTTTCAAAGTCGAGACTTCCAATTTACAACTATCTGTCTCCAAATCATGGCGCATTGAGATCTTTAACTCCAAACAGCAATTGAAGCAAAATAATTATCAGAACCAAATATGCTGTAGGAATTTGCAGACAAGAAAGGGTTAATTTGTAGCAGAGGTGACCAAAATAAGTCTTCAAGGAGGTATGGTTTTTAACTAAGCTTTGGAGAAAGTGCAGGATTGCAGGACACAGGGTAGACATTTTTCCCCTACTATTACCGCTTCAGAAAAATTTCTCTGGCTTCGCAGACCTGAGAAAGTAAAATGTGAGGATTCGTAGTCTTTTACCTTGGTCATCCTTTGCAGACTTTTTTCGTTTTTTCCCCTTTGCTGAGGTTGCCAATAGACCTGTAGATGTGCTTGGTTGACTGGAAGCCCACTGCTGCTCTTCAGTTTCAGACCCTTGTTCACACTTAGAATTTCCATACTCTTCCCTTGACTTGGGAGAAAGAAACCAGTCAGTTATTTCTCTGGTGTCTGAACCACCATCCAGGCCACCTGCCTTAACTTAACTCACACCAGCACCGAGACAGGCCCTGAAGCCTGCTGGCAAGTGTGTGGGTTATGCTCTGGTATCATCTAACACCCAGTTCCATTTGTAAGACGGGGAGGTAAGGTTGGAGAACTGGAAGAAAGCCGGTTTGAAAGTACAATAAAGGACAGGAAATATACACACCAAGTAGAGAAAGCAGGCTCTGCACTGGGAGAAGCCGCCCTTCTATCACCCACTATACCCACCACTCTCACCTGGAAGTTTGTTTTGATTCTCTTATTTTTTTAAAGAATTATTTAATTTTATTCACTTTCATTATTTTAACTAAAAAAAAAAAATTTTTTTTGGATGTTGACCAGAGAGAGAAGGAAAGTGAGAAAGCAACTTGCCAGGTTCGAGACTGGAACCACAATCAGCATTATTTTAACAAAAAAAAATTTTTTTTTTTGATGTTGACCAGAGAGAGAAGTAAAGTGAGAAAGCAAGCTGCCAGGTTCGAGACTCGAACCACAATCAGCTGCGTGAGAGTCCAGCTGTCTTAAACACACCACCTGCTGGCCCCCGATTCTTTTATTCTTGACCCCTTCTGTGTAAGTTATTTTCTTACATTGTTGCCAGAGGGATGCTATGAAAACTTTACATCTCCTCAGTGGTTTACACTGCTGTTAGTGCGAAGTTAAAGCGTAAGCCGCCAGCCTCCTCTCCCCCACAGCCTCATCTCAAGCAGCTCCCCAACGCCCTAGCTGCAGTCACAGGATTCCTTTCCTTTCCAAAGTAGTTCTCCGACCAGAAGTGACATTCCCCAGCCCCACCCCCTTGTATTTACATTTTAAATCTTACAACCCCGTTCAAGACTACTTCAAGCTTATTTGGCTGACAACCCTTTCCAGTCCTTCCAGACTAAATCTACCACACCTTGCCTCCTCCTACCACTTATCAATTCCAATTCCGCATGTGATTGTGTGATCTGTTCGGTGGCTGCTACTCCACTAGACTGTGAGTCCCACAGGTTAGAATTTCCTGAAGCACTCAATAAATACTGTTCAAGTGAATGAAAAGAAACTAGGGTCAAAGTCGTTCAAAGTAAAGAAACTAATGTCTGTTGAGCCTCTAACTGATACCAGGTATTGGGGTCTTTTATTCCTTCTTTAAAAAAATTTATCATTTATTTATTTATTTATGTATGTATTTAAGTTTTGATCAGAGATGGTCTGAGTGAGAGTGAGAAAGCAAGCAGCCAGGTCAGGATCTCAGACCTGCTGTAGGTCAGGCGGGAGGGCCCTGTGGGAGTCCAGTGCCCTTAACCACATCACCTGCCAGCCCCAGGGGTCCTTTCTTCTTGCCTTTTTTTTTTTTTGTCCTTTTTTTTTGCCTTTTTTTTTTTTTTTAAGAGTTTTTTTTTTTTTTTTTTGGTTTTGTTTTTGCCTCAAGGCGGGAGAGCTCCCTGGGAGAGACAAAGACAGAGACAGGGAGAAATTACCCTCTAGGAGAGATGGCCAAGTCACAATTCCTTCTCAACCCCATTCTCCTCCCAGAATTTTTGGCACTGAGGTACGCACACATGCCCAGTGTGACTTTCAAGTCACCAGGTCCAGGACAAGAACTGTCCCGACCATGTGGGCAACCCCTGATGTAACTGCTATGCCATCTCCTGGTCTCCTTTACTTTTTTTAAAGACAGGGTCTCATTGCTGTGCTTTTCTTGCCTCAGCTTCCCAAAGCAAGGGAACTCCCGGATTACCATGGCATGTTACCACACCCCGCCTCCCAGGCATTGGCTTTGACAGGCTCCTTACTTCCATTCATTCAGTTCACCAGCAACACGGTTCATTACTTTATTTTCAGACACAGAAGCTGAGGCTTGCGGTTACACAAAGAAGGGCAAGAAGGTTAAGGGACATAAATCCTAGGTCGATTTGCTCCCAACTTTACACCCTTTTACTATCACCCTCCAGGTAGGAGTACTGAGTAAATTAACATTTGTATGACCCTTTTACATATCTATAGCAGTTTTACATTTGTATTCACATTTTACATTTGCATGACTCTTGACACAAGCACTCACTCTTCAACCTCACAAAAGTCTTAAAACTGCAAAGTGCAAAAAATATCTGTTTCTAGGGAAGAGCTCCTGAAGGGCTCAGGTGTCCAGTCTCCCTCCTCCGCTGTTCCCGCCTCTGGCACAAGTCCCCACCTCCCTCTCCCTTAGGTTTGTCCCTCTCTCTTGTCAGCGTCTCCGGCTTCGCATCACCCTCGGTCCTAAGGACCTTGGGAAAGGGAGTCCAGTTCAGACCCAGGACCTCGGGTTTAAGGTCTGCACCTAAAGGGAATTAAGGGCTTTCGTCCTCTCCCAAACTGGGGCCAGTTACCTCTCCTAAACGCCTCCACACCTCCTCCTTTTCGCTTTACCATTTCCCTCCAGCCCCATTCTTGCCTCTTCTTCCTGATACGATAAAGTATCTCCTCGAAATCAACACAGGAAATCCCATTTCTTAATTGTCTTCGCACCGACCGATTGCACCGTGAGCGGCAATCACGTCTAAGACTTTACATCTTTTTTTAAGAAAAAGAGGAAAATCTAAGGCACCTTCTTTTCTTCTCGAAAGATCACGTGTGTTTGGGAGAGAAAGAAACAGAGGAGACCCACGGAGACAGAGTTAAAGAACCCCACTTAAACTGCGTTTACCTCCTTGCCTCTTGCATGCTCCATACTCTCAACGTAGATAGGGCTGATAAAGGAAAGATTCTTCTCACTTGCCAACCGGCCCGTGGCCCTCGACGGCTTTGGAAAGTCTCCTCCCACTTCCTGCCGACCAAAGGCCTCTTCCTTCCTTCTCCCCTCCTCTCCTCTCCCTCCCCCACACCTTGCCAATGCTCTCGGTGTGCACTTCCCTATCCATGAAGTGGCATTCTTTTCCGTGAACTTTTAGTATAATGGTCCAAGGTGTGGTTCGGAGACGTGGGGATGTTAAAAACTCCTTCAGGATAATTATTTTGGGTAAACAGAAGTGCTAGAGACTTCTGAACAGGTGTGAGTTGATTTACTGTCGCAGCTTGTGGACACAAGAACTCCGGCCCCACCAGCTGCGGGTAGAGAGCTGAACCCTTTTCTTGTACATTTCATTTCTCAAATAAGTTCCTCAATTAAAACTCCAGCGTCCCAGCGATACTCATGATAACACGCGCCTTTTCGCCTGCCAATATAGTTTTTTTGTTTGTTTAAAGAATTACTTATTTAATTCCGTTTGCCATTATTTTTGAATTTAGCCAGAGAGAGAGGAAGGGAAAGGAAGAAAGCAAGTCGCCAGGTCTGGGATTCGAACTGCGGGCAGCCATGTAGGAATCCAGCGCCCTTGCCGACCCCAATAGTATCTGTTATGTACCAAATTACAGGTTTAAAGTTCAGTCATTATGGTTTCTCATTTAGGTGACCGAAGTTGATATAAAATTTTACTGGTAATTTATCCAATAGCACCCTAAGTTAGCTCCTAACTTACTGATTTCCAAACATGTGCAGAATTCTTTCCTCAAGAATAGTTTGGAGAGGGACCAGCAGTTGGCCTAGTGGCTGTGTCGCTGGACTACCATGTAGTCGACAGCGGTTTGAGTACCAGACCTGGTGGCTTAAGCTCACATCAGGCGCGTGTGCGTGGGTGTCCAAGGTCCCAAGAGGAGAATGGAGAAGAAGGAATTGTGGGGTGTCCATCCCCTCTGGGGGGTAATTTCTCGCTTTCTGTCTCTGTCTCTCTCTTTCTGGAGAGCGCACATGCCCTAAAGCAAAAACCTCTCCAAATAAATAAATAAATAATAGTTTGGAGACTAGCAGGTGATGTAGTGGTTGGAGTGTTGGACTCCACCATGGTTGGAATCCAGACTGGGCAACTTGAGAATCATGAGGGGACCCTGTGCCAATGTGCCCAGAGTCCTAAGAGGAGAATGGAGGAGAAGGGGTTGCAGTATGGCCATCCCTCATGGGACGTGATTTCTCACTTTCATTCTCTCTCTGTCTCTGTCTTTCTCTTTAGTGAGTGCAGGTGACCTTTGACCAAAAACAGAAAAAAAAGAATAGTATGAAAAATCTTTCCTCCGGTTACTCCTTCCTGTCAAGGTGCCAGAGATCAGAGGTTTGAATACATTTCCCAAGTTAAGTGGTGGTTGTGGGATCCAAACCTTTGTCAGGTTACAGAGTCTGTTTTGCTCTTTTGATTGTTTTGGGGTTTTCCCTATAGCTTATTGCTTGTCCAAAAATGATGAATAAGAGATGATCCTTACCCTGAATGATTATGATAATCTGCTCACAGAGCTATATGGACCAAGGAACTAAATGAATGGGACCCAGGAGTTGCGAAGGAAAATGCAGATTGGGACAAGTGTTATAGCTCTAAAAATGGAAGCTAGGCATTTATTGTAGAATTGATTTCCTTTGGGAGGTCATATCAGGGCTTTGGTTTATCCATTCTTCTCCACTGTCCTTACATAATCACCAGTTCAGTCTTACTAGCTAAGGTTTGCATATCAGGTCATGACCGAATCATCTTTCTCTGTGTAGTTGGGGCTAACATGGCTGTGTTCTGAATCAAGTACAAACTAAGGCACCCAGGTAACTAATCCTGGCAAGCTACAAACTGTAATAAAGAGGTGGAGTTTGGGTGGAGATTATGAGTTACAAATTCTTAGGTCCACTACCTATTTTAGGAGGACAATTCTAAAAGAACCACACCCATCATTTTAAAAAGTGAGGTAGTGGCACCAACAGATGGCATAATGGTTACATTGCTGGACTCCGACGTAGTCAACCGTGGTTAGAGTCCTGGACGCAGCGGCTTGAAACTCATGTCAGGTGTGTACATGCCTGAAATCCCGAGAGGAGGATGGAGAAGAATGGATTGTGGCATGGCCATGCCTTCCGGGGAGTGACTCCTTCCGTTCAGTCTCTGTTTCACTCTTTCTGGCAAGTGCAAGCATCCTATAGCAAAATACTCTGTAAAATTAAATTAAAAAAGGTAACCTTGTTTCCTATAGATAAAATGGATTCATATCATTAAATTTAAAATGTTTGATAGTAACTGGAAATAATTTTACCAAGTTTTGAACTAAGCAAAATGCCAAATACTGTACATTTTGTTGGACTTGTTGGAATTGAGTTCGTTTACAAGCAATCTTAGGCAAAGTAAGATGTGCTTGTGCTTTTTTTTCCTTAAACATAAAAAAGAATAATCGTGGGGCCAACAAGGATGTGATGATTAAGGTGCTGGACTCTAACATGGCTGAACTTGGTTCAAGTCCAGGACCTGGTGGTTTGCTTTTGACTTTTTCTCTCTTTCTCACTCTCTCTGTCTCTCTGTAGGGAGTACATGTGCCCTATAGCAAATTAAAAAATAACAATAAATAAAACTAAATAAATAATTCTAAAAAATTAGAAATAAATGTTCGTTTATTTATTTATTTATTTATTTTCATATGGTGCATGTGCTCATAAGACAGCAACATCAAAAAAGAGGGAAAGTGAGAAATCACCCCCCAGAGGGGATGGCCATGCCACAATCCCCTCTTCTTTATTCTCTTCTGGGGATTCTGGGTATGCATGTACACACACTCAGCATGTTCCTTAAGCCGCCAGGTCAGGGACTCAAACCATGCAGTCGGCCATCCTTCAAACCATGCATCCAGCCACCTTCACCAGCACACCCCTGGCTGGGACATACTGAGTTTCTTTTGAAAATAACTGAGGCTTTTGTTTGTTTGTTTAGTTTTTGCTATAGGGCGTAAATTCTCACCAAAGACAGAGAGAAAGTGAGAAGTCACCCCCCCTCCCCCCAAGGGGCAGGGCCTTACTGCGATCCCTTCCCCTCCAGTCTCCTCTTGGGATTTTTGCTGGATGCACAAGTGCCTAGAGTAATTTCCAAGCAACAGAACAAGGTGAATTAGGAGGCGACTGTAGCCTCTGTAGGCGTCAGCTTCGGTGCAGGCTGACTGAGCATAGACACCAAAGCCAAGCTGGATTTGAACTCCAACTCTCCGTTATTATCTGATCTGGGCAAGTGATCTAAAACCTTTAGGCATCTCCATTTCCTCACTTGTAAAATGAGGGTGATGAAAACAACAGCCCAGATTCAAAGGATGGTGAATATATTCTGAGAAAACAGTATCTGGCAGGGCACAGGCCGGGTCAGGGTCACATGTTCTTTTATAGTGCTGAAGAGGAATACAGCTTTGAGACATGTGGGTTAGTCCTGCCATGTTATTATTTTCTATTTTTAATTTTTTTTTATATTTGTGTATTTTCTAAGAAGAGTTTTAATTGAATAAATGAGCTGTGTTAATGAGACCATTAGTTTACCTGGAGGCAACTAATCTTCCAAAGTCATTAATCTGCATTTATAGGGGACAAAGTGGGATTGTATCACACGGAACCACCAATTCATATTTGATGGAATGGAGACATTTGATAGGAGGTATGTCTGCAGAGGTCTGTTGGAGCACTCATCTGAATTTTCTGTGCTGTAGAGTCCTAGAAGCACTGGGTCAAAGGCTAAGCTCATTTAAAATTTTTATATGGCTCAATTCATATTCAGAATGATTTTACCAATTCATAATAGTGTATGAGAACACCTCTTTCTCCATATCTATGAAACTGGTATTTTAACAAGTGCATCAGAACTTGACACACCTAATTTATAGCATTCTACCTTTTGGTATCTCCAATAATGGGAATCATTGCTCTTTTAGGGGTTATTTTACCTTAGGAAGCAGATGAGTCATTTTGAATTACATTTAGAGTTGGGTAGGCTATCGGATTAGTTAACAACTTTGGTTATAAGAGGAAAAAGTTTGAGGTATGAGAGGGCCTTCGAAATTTCCAGGGAAAATGGGTATTATGAACAGCTGCGCATAAATCTCAAATATATTTTGCACTAAGATAAACTTGTATTTTAATTCTATAATATTTTCCATTAACTTTATGAATCTTCTCATAGATAGTAGCGCTAATATCGTAACTCCCCCCCAAAAAATACCTGTTTTTCACATTTACAAACTTTTTTCCTCTCTATTTCACTCTTTCACTTTCTTAACCCCTCCTTCCATTACATTTTTAGGTACTAGTAGAAAAACGTGGTTCTGGGACTAAGAGATGGTGTGGAGGTTGAGATATTTGGCCTTTGCACGGCTGACTTTGTGATTCAAGTCCCAGACCTGAAGGCTTGAAAATCATGCTTTGTGTGTGTGTGCATGTGTGCCCAAAATCCTGAGAGGAAAATGGAGAAGAAAGGATTTGGGGGGGGCTGGCAGGTGGTATCGTGGTTACAAGTGCTAGACTCCCAGGGAACCAGCAGTTAGCGTAATGGCTATGTCGCTGGACTCCCACGTAGTTGACTGTGGTTCGCGTCCTGGACCCGGTGGCTTAAAACTCATGCCGGGTGCGTGTGCGTGCATGCCCAAGATCCCGAGAGGAGAATGGAGGAGAAGGGATTGCAGTGTGACCATCCCCCCTGGGGGGTGATTTCTTGCTTTCTGTCTCTATGTCTCTCTCTGTCTGTCTGGCGAGCGCACGCACCCTATAGCAAAAACCTCTCCCAAAAAAAAAACAAAAACAAAAAACAAACAAACAAAAAACCAAGTGCTAGACTCCCACATGGCCGACAGCAGTTCTAGTTCTGGACCTGGTGGCTTGCTTTCTCACTTTCCTTCTCTCTTTTTCTCTTGCTCTCACCCTGTCCCTTTCGGGTCAAAATAAAATGAATGAATGAATGAATGAATGAATGAATAAATAAATACATAAATAAATAAATAAAGTGAAATTTAAAAAAAAAAGAAAAGCTTGCAGAAGGTCATTCTCCCTAGGGTATGATTTTTCACTTTCTTTTTGGCAAGTGTATGCACCCTATAGCAAACCAAAGGAAACAAAACAAAACGAAACAAAAAGAGTTCTAGGACCAGCAGTTAGTGTAATGGCTATGTTGCTGGACTCGCACATAGTCGACTGCAGTTCGAGTCCCAGAGCCGGTGGCTTAAACTCATGCTGGGTGCGTGTGCGTGCATGCCCAAGATCCCAAGAGGAGAGTGGAAGAGAAGGGATTGAGGCGTGGACAATTCCCCCCCCCTGGGGGGGTGATTTCTTGCTTTCTGTCTCTGTCTCTCTCTGTCTGTGTGGTGATCTCATGTGCCCTATAGCAAAAACCTCTCCAAAAAAAAAAAAATAGAGTTCTGGTCATTAATTACCTCACAGTAAGAAGTGTTCCAAAAATATGAACAAACTTACTGTCATTGAATCAAATACCTGGCTTCCTTAGGTATCCACCTCAAGAACCAGGTACCCTAACCAGGGCAGATGTACTATGAAACTAATGAAGTTTAAGTTTCATGTCCTTTGTACTGGCTCAGGACAAGGTCCTGTCAGCGAACCGGCAACTTTGCATTCAAAATTTCATTCCATTTCTTTTTCTTCTTTCTTTCTCTTTTAGGTTTTTGCCATAGGGCATATACGCTGGCCTGAGAGAGAGAGGGAGAGAGAGAAACCACCCCCCGACCCCTGGGGAGGGGGATGGCTATGCCTCAATCCCTTCTCCTCCATTCTCCTCTTGGGATTTTGGGCTCACATGTGACTATGATTTTCAAGCTGCTGGATCTGGAAATCTGAATTCAGTGCCTTAACCTCTGCACCGCCTGCTGGCTCCTCATTATTTTTCTTTAAGAGGGACCTTCAAAATTGTATCAGTTTCAGGCATTACAGATCTGCCTGAATGATAATGCCCAAATACTGAAATGTTTATTTAAAGCAGTAAGTGTCCGGGGCCAGCAGGTGGTATGGTGGTTAAAGTGCTGGACTCCCAGGTGGTCAACCACGGACGGAAGGCTTACTTTCCTACTTTCTCTTTCTCTCTGTCTCTTTCTTGTCAAAATAAACAAAAAATAATGAGAATAAATGAAATGAAACAATTATTTTAAAAAACTAGTGTTTTGGGCTGTTCTGTGACCTAGTGCTTAAGGGAACTGGATACCACATGGCTGATCACTTGTTTCAAATCCTGGCTGCAGAGACTTGAAAACCGTCAGGTGCATATGTGTGCGTGCCCCAAATGCTGGCACCATGAAGGAATAGAGAAGAGGGATTTCAGCATGGTCATTCTCCACCAGAGAAACCACAACCTTAACAACCACTGAGGCAGTCTGTGTCCCTAGTTTATTTCAAAGATATTACTTAGGACAGCTTCATATGCTTTTCTGAAGCCAAGATAAATTACATCAGTACTCCAGGATATTGGTCACTGCTGTAGTGGATATTGGTAAGTTTACCAAAGTGTGTTCTTTACCAAACCTGTTGATAGTGCCTGAAGATTGATTAGTGAGGATTTCCTAAGTTATTTGCTATTGATACATTTCTGAGGAAGAGAGACCACAGACCCTAAAGAATCAATTTCAGTGGAAAATGGCCTGATTCTATAGTAGCATTTGTAATCATGAGAACTCACCAGAATATTACGACTTACTTTGAAGCCAAGGAAGAGCACAGTGACTTAGACATGGTGTAGTGACTGAGGTCACTCCTTTAGCTTTTGTGTCAGAATTCTTACCTCTTGGAGTCAGCAGGTGACGTGGTTAAAGGTGCTGGACTCCCACATAGCCGATTGCGATTCAAGTCCTAGACCTGGCTGTTTGCTTTCTCGCTTTCCCTCTCTCGCTGTCTCTCTCACTCTGTCCATCTCTGGAAAAATAAAATAAAATAAATAAAATTAAACATAAAATAAAATAAAGTTAAATAAAGTAACCATTAAAAAAAATTCTTACCTTCTCGTCCTCATTACCCATTGTGTCCTGTTGGTCTACCATCTAATTGTTTCTCAGTGCTTATTCTTCATTTTCCTCATTCCAACCACTGTCTTCATTCAGGATTGCATTTCTTCTCATCTGCATCACTGACAGAGTGTGCTTCCTGGTGTTCTGGCCTTCAGGTTTTGTTCTTTTAAGCCGTCCTCCGCAAGCCCAGTTATGTAAGGCTGTGCTGTCCCTCTGACATGATGGTGCCTTCTGGAGTCCTCTCGCCTCTAGCTTTCCGGTCACTCAGGGAATAGAAAACATGAGTATCTGACGTCTTTTCCCATAGATAGCAATTCCAAGATATTTAGGAGGGACAGTTTATCAAAGCAGGCTAATTTAATTCTGCAGAATGTTTGCAATTTTGTTCAAAAGACTTAACTCTTATTAAATATAATTCACTTTCTTGTGGCTTTAAATTTCACCTAGCTCTAAAATAAGGTGGGTTTTATGATAAAAATTGCTTTCCTCCTGAGCTAGAGTATTACCATGCATAGAACAGCAAGACCAACTTAAATGAGAATGATTACTAAATAACTGCAGTTTCAAAGAGAAGATAGGTAATAACACTTTGCATTCATATGAGCCTGCCTTTCATCTGAGTATCTCAAAGGGAAGCAAAATGTAGCTGATGCTGTGTTATGGTTGAAAATGACAACTGTGCAATTTCCTTACTCCTGAGTATTTCCCCTCTCAAGTATCATACCAAGTTAAACATCGCTAGCATTCCGAGTGTATTGATTTTGCACACATGCTTTTTCTCTCTTGTATTTACCCCTCTAACATCAACCCCTAGTGTAAAGGCAGTGACGGACCACCTGCCTTTATGGTTTCGAAATATTTGCTGTCATTGGGGAAGAACATAATCGTAAGGGTTGAAATGACATCTTTCTTTGCTATTCTAAAGTTGTGGAGGAAAAATACAGAAATGAAGATAGAGATAGAACATTCTCTTTACCCTTGGATTTAGTTCCAGTCTGACGCTAACGGACACCAAGAATGCTTCAGTGAACTGGTCCGTCCACTTGGTTGAAGCACAAGATTTACAGGTCGTGCTTAGTAGTGTACGTGGGAATTGTTCTCATTAGGGCTCTGAACTACATTACCGTGAATGTTTCCTATACAGGTGATAGGTCTGAAAATCTTCAGAAATCCATTGGTACTGACCTTCTTTATACAATTCTTCTTGTAAGGGTTGTGTTTAGTATTTTTTTGTGGCTTTAAAAATGGTCATATACCTATCTTGGGGTCAGCCTATGACCTGTAGTTAAAGGAGCTGGATCTTGAGTCCTGGAGCCAGAGGGTTGACAAATATGCTGGGTGTGCGTGTGTGTTTGTGTGTGCCCAATACTTGGAAAGAATGGAGATGGAGGAGAAGATAACTGTGGCAAGACCATACTCCCTGGGGTGGGCATTTTCTCCTTCTCTCTCCCTCCCTCTGGTGAGTGCACATGTCCTTTGGCAAATTAAAATAAACATATAAATGAAATGATTGTGTATCTCCTACAGGAACATGCATTTTTGACTCCTGATATGAGAGGTTAAATTATTAGCCTGTAAACCTCTAAGTAGAGAGGGAAAGAATTTTTTTTTAATGATCACTCAAAAATATATATATATACATATCTAAGCAAAAGTTAAACAATTTTTTTTTCTGCAAAATGAATAAAACTATCATGAAAAATAAGACCAGGACCTGCTGTTAAGGAGATCAAGAGCTTCAGGTCTTATATTCTCAAATAGCCTCACATTTAGACATTTAAAAGGGTCAACAAGTGAAGCTACTTATATAACCAGAGATGTACACACCATCAGGATTAAAAGAGAAATATGTCCACTGTGCAATTAAAAAACTATTTATTTTACTCCATTTGTTATTATTATTATTTAAAAAAATTTTTTTGGAGAGGTTTTTGCTATAGGGCACGTGGGCTTGCCAGAAAGACAGAGAGACAGAGACACCCCCCCCCCCCTCTTGGGATCTTGGGCATGCACGTGCGTTTAAGCCACCGGGTCCAGGACTTGAACCATGGTCAATTACATGGGAGCCCAGAGACATAGCCATTATACCAACTGCTGGTCCCATGTTATTATTATTTTTAAATTTGATGAGAGAGACAGACAGAGAGAGAAAGAGAAAGTGAGAAAGCAAGCCACCAGGTCCAGCACTTGAATCATGGTTGGCCATGTGGGAATCCAGTGTCTTTAACCACCATGCCACCTGCTGGCCCATTGTGCAATTAAAAAAAATAATTACTTAATTTAATTTTATTCATTATTATTATTATCTAATTTGACCAGAGAGAGAGACAGAGAGATAGAGAGAGAGATAGAAGAAAATCACTCTGCCAGGCCTGGGACTCAAACCATGGTCGACCATGTGGGAGTCCAGTGCCTTAATCACACCACTTGTCTGACCTCCCTCCCCCCCACCCCGCCCCATGCAATTTTAATTGCTAAACATTTTCTGAAATTTTCTGTAAATTTGTGTTGTCATTTCTTCTTCTTTTTCTTCTTTCTTCTCTCTCTTCATTCTACAAATATTCCTGAGGGTGTGTGCACTCACCAAAGGGGTGGGGGTGAGGTGGCTGCGGTGACAAAGCTGTAAGGGAGGGTTGGCCATGTGGGATCTAGCCACCTTAATCACCACACCACTGGCCTGTTAGCATTTATAGAGCACGTGGTGATAAGCATGATATTTACATGATCTCATTAACTGTCATTCTCATCATTCCTGTTTTATAGATGAGAAAGCTGTTCATAGAAGGTTGCTCCGCATCATACAGACAATGTAAGTGAGTTGAGTTTCACACTCAGAGAGCGGGCTGGGGTTCTGCTCCTGCACACCTGCCTGCTCCACTCCGAGTCCTCCACTCAGCCCTCGGCGGCGCTGTTCCTTTAGCTCCTCCGTCTGTGTCTCCGTCCCTCCACCTAGCAGACGCCAAGGTCTTTGATCTTGCACTCTGGACTCACACCATTGGCTGCCAGATGGTGCTCATGCCCACAGCCTCCCAAAGACCTTCTTCAGTCCTGGAACTGGAGCGGCACCAGCTTCTCTGCTTCAGAATCTCTGAGAGGCCTTTTCAGGCCCCAGCCTGAAACTTCTTCAGAGTTTTTCAGCTATTTCTCCAGCTTGCAGGCCACTCTGTTGTGGGACTTCTCTGCTTTGTAATGATATGAGATAATTTCTATAATATAATAAATCCCACCTTTTATGTAAAAAAAGAGATTTTTTTTAACCCAGATGTATCTCATGCTATAATAAAGAAAATAGCAGGGCAGATAAAAGGATTGTTAGTGCTTGAATTTACAGTGGGTAAGAGGAAAAAGGAACTCAAGTGGAAATAAGCATTTTTGACATTATAGTGAAGCAGACATTAAGAATATTAAATCTTTTCTGCTCATATTGGGAAGTTCATTAGCAGGAGCCAGGGGTCAATTCCAGCTAACATTTATTGATTCTCATGAGCCAGCATTAATGTGGATTTAAGATGAAGTCCTGAGGGAAGCATGATAATAGTTGTGCTTTAGGAAATTTACTCTGACACATGGCTATTGTGGGACTGTCTGCTAGGGACTGTGAAGACCACAGTGGTAGTTGTTCATGGGACTAGAAAAGGACGTTTTTGTGAAGCATTTTAGAGGTACAATCCCAGAGGAATGTATTAGATATGGGGGATTGAAATTTGTTACAAAAGTGAGGCTTGAATTTGGAAACTAGGATGTGGAAGAGAGGAGGATGTGCCCTGGACTTGCAGGGTTATAACTTGGAGCAATTGTCAGTAGCAATTGCTGCTTCTTGTCATGACCTAATATGGCTGGAAATATACCCAATGGTACATAACCAAGTATTTATCAGGCTCTGGCCAATATTCTGCAAGCAGCATAAAGGAGAGAGCTATAATATAATATCTATGTATTTTCTTTTCCTTTTTTTGAGTGATTTTTGTTAAAGGGTGCATGCACTCTCCGGGGAGACAGAGAGAAACCAAGAAGTCACCCTCCCAGGGAGAATGGCCATGTCACAATCCCTTCTTCTCCACTGTCCTCTCAGGATTTTGGGCACACGCACGCACAAGCCTGGCATGAGTTTTAAGCTACTAGGTCTGGGACTTGAACTGCAAATGACTAAGTTGGAGTCCAGCAAAGTAAACCATTATGCCATCTGCTGGTTCCAACAGATTTTTTTTTGTTGTTGAGAATTATTTATTAATTTTATTTATCATTACTATTATTTTAAAAATTTTTCTATAGGGCACATGCACTCACCAGAGAGAGAGAGAGAGAGAAAAGAGAAAGAGAAAGAGAGAGAGAGAGAGAGAGAGAGAGAGAGAGCAGAGAGAAAGAGAGAGAGAGAGGGAGAGAGAGAAAGTGAGAAAGCAAGCTGCCAAGTTCAGAACTTGAACCATGTAGATGATGTGGGAGTTCACCACTTTAACCATCAGGCCATCTGCTGGCCACAGTTGGCACAGCTCTTATTCCACCACATAATGCTTTGTTAGATTGGGTGTTCCTAGAGTATAAGGACTCTTTTTTTTTTCTCTCCTAATTTTGCTTGAGGTTGTGTGCACTCACCAGAAAGAGAATGACAAGAGATAGAGGGAGAGGGAGAAAGCACCTTACAATGGGGCGTGGTCATGCTACAATCCCTTCTTCATTTCACCATCCCGTTGGGACTCTGAACATCTGTGCATACACAACTGACATGTTTTTCAAGCTGCTAAGGCCAGAATTCAAACCATGGTTGGCAATGTGGGATCCAGCTCCCTTAACCACTAGACCACAAAGTTGTCTCAGGACTATGTCTAACTTAATAATATATTGCCAATGTTAGACTAAGGACCTAACACACGAATACTAGCAAAATAATAAGTAAACAACTGATAAATGAAAAAAGAAAATGCTTGGTTTCATCCTTTTCATTGAGCAGAGGCTCAAGGGCGTCTGGTCACAGGGACCTTGATATGGGCTCAGATTGGCACACCCATGTTGGG